TCGCGTTCTTCGACACTGCTACTCACTCACTCACTCACTCACTCACTCACTCACTCACGCTCTCTCTCTTTCTCTCTATCTGCGTTTCACGCAACTTTTTTTCAATTCCACTTCCTCCTTCCTCCTTGCACACAGAGCAACGTGTTATTTCGACCGAGATTAACGGCGAAACATAAATCGTCGTTAACGAATTAGCGAGGAGCGCGGAGGATAATGCGCGCGCTTGGAACTAATTGGGCCAGGATGCAATTACACACGGACGCATTTTTTCGCGCGGAGGGAAGTTTATAAAATTGAATGCCGGAACGATCGGATATTCTGCGGATATTAGAAACGATCTAGCGAAATTCTACGTGTGAAGATGCGATTATGAAACGTACGCGGTCAGTAGGGCGCAACGAGCCATACGTGTACGACGTTCGGCGAAGAACTTCGAAGAATCTCGTAGCTTTTCACATTGTTCGAAACGTTTCGTAGAATCGTAGCTAGTTGGACCGACCGAGTTTTCGGTTATCCTAGAGAAAGCTTCGAATAGCCTAGTGGTATCCAGTGGTAAACGCAAAACGAGAGATTAGAGCGAGACGATAGACACGAGTGTAGTTTAATCGTGTTCCTGTTTTGGGAATAAAACATCGGTAAGCGGTGCGTTTGAAACGTACCTATCGAGAATGTAACGCTGTTAACGCATTGTTGTCTGGCGCAGCGGTGGTTTTTGCAAACCCGAACGGACCCGAACGTAGAACGAAAAAGTTCTGACAAACGGAAATTGCTAACGTAGCGAATTATTGAACCGTGGCACCTGACACGTATACACGTCCTTCGCACACATGCGTGATATCCATGTACCTGGCTGATGTATGCACGTTTCTAAATTCATGTATACGTGGATGACAGTGGGAAAGAGGGAGAAAAATAGAGGAACAATACACGGTGGAAAACGCATTCGAAAGTGGTTGGTGCGTGTGCACGTACATGTGAAATGCGGCGCGACGAGTAGAGGGTTGCGTAAGTTGGGAAAAACGGTTTATCAGGAACGATCGTAAATTCATGGGTCGATTCGGCAAACGCTGCGGGCTTGGCGCGACAAAAATGCGATTGGAAAGCAGGACGGCGTGACGGTTCGAAAATTCGATACACCGTGGAACGTAGGATGGATATCGGATAGGAACGAGGAACGGAGGATCGCGTACAAAGGGTTGGTAGTTCTTTTCGAAGAGGCGCGATACGGTACACGTAGAACGTGTAACGCGCTCAACTCGACGCACCGATCGAGGTTACGGTAACGTAAGGTTAATTGGCTGAGATTTTGCGTCGTTAACTCGTCACCGTTATCCCTACCAGTTGTCGGAATTGATTTCCGTAGCAGCGATTTAGTTATCGGATAGGGCCTCTAGGCACTTAACTTTAAGGTAATGGGATTTCATAGTTACCTGCGACATTGTGTTGATGATGATTATAAGTAAGAGGAACGGAGTGTAATGCCCTGGCAGACCACTTTCTGTGTCTAGAATCCTCGTCGTCGTCGTCAGCTTGTTGGCCATCCTCTCCTAGAAAGTGTACCTTCTCATACCTGTCCAGATACCTGAAATAACACACCATTCTGTTACGTGCTACGATAATTCGCTAAATTATCCGATTATATTCTCGTAGCGAAATACGTTGTACCGAGAAACAAGTCGTTTCGTTTTCGACCACGACGACACTCTACGCAGTGCGGACAAGAAATAGTCGAAAATACCTTAAACTACCGTCCTTATCGCGTTTAGACCCCTTTTATATTCGTCCATCGAATCGAGAGAGACGAAGAAATATCTAGCTTCGGCAATAGTCAACGATAAACAATCGTTTCTTCGTACCGACTTTACGAATACGAAAGACGGCCGCTGAACCTAACGGAATACAAACGTACGCGACGTTGGGCCGTGTGTTCTCCTCGAAGAATGCTAATGGGCGTTTCATTCTCATTCACGGTCGACTCCTTCGAGTTTCCATACAGAAAGGTCCGTAAACCTATGTCGCGTAACTTTTGGCAAACTTTGGAAAAGTTAATCGCTCTTCGATCTTCGATCTCGACGGTCTTTCGATATGCCGCAGAAATCGATATTTCGAATCGTATTCTTTCGTAGGTATAAAGGAGCTTAGTTTTCCAAATATTGGCAAAAAAATGGCACAGTACCGCTACAGCGAATTTCGTCTAGAGTTACGCGTTGGTTACCACCGCTCATCTTCCGTTTAAAAAGGAAGATCGGACGAGCTTAAAGGCGTATGCGAGACTGTAACGAACGCGTTACATTCTCTATGGTCATTTACAATGGTCGCTTCGAGGCCTACTATTTTTACGATCGAATCGTTACCATTTTAGCCAAGAATAAACGCGTGATCGAGCTGCGTTTATTTTTTTCTCCAAATATCTCGGAAGCCAGGACACGTGGAAAAATCATCCGCTCCTTGCTTTATCCAATGTACAATTTTTTCACAGGGAGGAAGACGGTACACGAAGCAGCAGTCGTAGTCGATTCGACGCACCGAGCGGACTAACCGCGACCAGCAACGAACGAAACGAAAACAGCGTCGCGCGTAAAGACAGCGGTCAGGAGTTAGCGCGACTGATAACGATAATAACGATAAAAAGGAAGAGGGGAGGGGAGGAGAACAGAACAGAATAGAACAGAATGGAACAGAGTAGAGTAGAGTAGAGTAGAGTAGAGTAGACGTAGTCGTGGGTGGGCGAAAGAAAGTGGCGGGGGGTAGGTGCAATGGATCCATTCACGCACCGACGTGGAGTACGGAAGGTGCGGATCGTCCAAGCACCGAGCGCCAGAGCCTGATTGGCCGCTGCTCGGTGTAGACGCGGACCGAGCACGGACACTTTGACCAGCGGTTCGCTCCAGGCCCCCTGGTCCTTCCGTGCACCACTCGCCGTCTGTCGCGTAGATCGAGAATCGCCGGTAACGCACGACGGTAGGTAGAATCTGGTTTATTCGGATCCATCGAATTCTACTCTTTTCCTTTCCTGCGATCCTCCTCTGCCAATATTTACCTATTATCGCGCTCGCGTCGCGTTCGAGACGTATCGTCTCGTACGAACGTCCGACACCCGTGTCAAACTATACGTGGAAGCGTGACTGGAATATCCATATCGATATATTTTCGCAAAGACGTAAGAAAATAAAGGTACCGGAGGAAAACGAATACGTCGGCCATCGCTGCGTTACCGCCACGGAAATCCGTCGTAGTGGCTAGCGATACCAGAATTGATCGACACTTTCCAAGTTTGTAATTTCCTGGCTTCCGAAAGCCGCTTTAAAAAGCAGCGTTTAAAAGAGCGTAAAGCTGGTCGTCGTTTTCCAAAGTATCTCGTCCGCTTACCGTTCACGATTACCCGTTACTTCGAACGAAAGGAAAAATTCAGAGTTTCGTACCACGTTCCATCGAACCGCGTAATTTCGCGTCGATCAAACGGACGAATACGCGGAAGGCTACGCGACACCTGTGAACGCGTTAACGCGATCGATCCGAACAAGTATCTTTTACGGTGGATGCATTTACGAGGCGTAACGTAACGGGTGGAAATAGGTAAATCGCGGAGGTCTTTAACGTTACGATAATTACGTACACGTTGAACGGCGGATGCGGGAATAAAGCGTTGGAATTTGTCCGAGTACAACTACGCGCGTTTAGACGCGGAAGGCGACGTTTTTCTTTCGTTCGATCCGGACCAACGAAGCGCTTTTACGTCGTTGGAATCGGTGCGATCGATGATTGCGACCGACGTGGAGTACGGAAGGTGCGGATCGTCCAAGCACCGAGCGCCAGAGCCTGATTGGCCGCTGCTCGGTGTAGACGCGGACCGAGCACGGACACTTTGACCAGCGGTTCGCTCCAGGCCCCCTGGTCCTTCCGTGCACCACTCGCCGTCTGTCGCGTAGATCGAGAATCGCCGGTAACGCACGACGGTAGGTAGAATCTGGTTTATTCGGATCCATCGAATTCTACTCTTTTCCTTTCCTGCGATCCTCCTCTGCCAATATTTACCTATTATCGCGCTCGCGTCGCGTTCGAGACGTATCGTCTCGTACGAACGTCCGACACCCGTGTCAAACTATACGTGGAAGCGTGACTGGAATATCCATATCGATATATTTTCGCAAAGACGTAAGAAAATAAAGGTACCGGAGGAAAACGAATACGTCGGCCATCGCTGCGTTACCGCCACGGAAATCCGTCGTAGTGGCTAGCGATACCAGAATTGATCGACACTTTCCAAGTTTGTAATTTCCTGGCTTCCGAAAGCCGCTTTAAAAAGCAGCGTTTAAAAGAGCGTAAAGCTGGTCGTCGTTTTCCAAAGTATCTCGTCCGCTTACCGTTCACGATTACCCGTTACTTCGAACGAAAGGAAAAATTCAGAGTTTCGTACCACGTTCCATCGAACCGCGTAATTTCGCGTCGATCAAACGGACGAATACGCGGAAGGCTACGCGACACCTGTGAACGCGTTAACGCGATCGATCCGAACAAGTATCTTTTACGGTGGATGCATTTACGAGGCGTAACGTAACGGGTGGAAATAGGTAAATCGCGGAGGTCTTTAACGTTACGATAATTACGTACACGTTGAACGGCGGATGCGGGAATAAAGCGTTGGAATTTGTCCGAGTACAACTACGCGCGTTTAGACGCGGAAGGCGACGTTTTTCTTTCGTTCGATCCGGACCAACGAAGCGCTTTTACGTCGTTGGAATCGGTGCGATCGATGATTGCGAATAGACGTTAATAGACGTTAACAGGCGTTAGCGCGATAATTTTCGCGAGCGGTTCGATTTCTTCTCGTAAGCAGAATTTCGATCCCCGGAGTCCACTTCGTAACGAGAACTATCGCGACTATCGGAACGAAAGTACGTGCGCGATCGAAAGACAGATAAATAGGGTTACTTTTCAACGTTTCTCTAATTTCCACTCCGAGACTTTGAAACGCGTTCGCGCTAAAATCGCGCAACGCACCGTGACATCGTTCCGTTGTTACCAAAAGCGAGTGCTTTTAACAACAAGCGATCTTGTATATCCACTTATGGTCGTTACACCGCCTCGATTACAATTATCCACCTATGGTAGGTTTAAGATATCGAAGATCGATGGTCGTAGACGTTAACGTTCGTCGAGACGTTCGCCGGAGAACAAGCGTACAAGTATAATCGTATCAACTCGGTATATCGTCGTATTCGTATTTCCAAACGTATTTAAATTCTAAGTTCTCGGTTTACCGCGATTCTAGCCAGTAGATACGAGCGAAACTAGCGGAGGAATATTCAAATACGTATGCCGTTCTGCGTAACACGCTACACGCTTCTCGCCGCGTTTAACCGTAATCAAATATTTCTCGCAAAAGTAAGGTAGGAAATCGAATACGCGGATATATCGACGAACGTTGGGCGTGGGTGTCGAAAGGACGCGACGTTTGCGAATACCAAATCGATGGAAGAGAGCCGTCGCGTTGCTCCGCGCACAGACCCCGCCACTACTACCTGTAACGAGCTAAATACAGCCTATCGCGTATAAATTTGTTTCCGTTTTAGCCTACGCGGTTCTATCTTTCGTATTTTTATTCTACAGTTGGTATTACGTTTCATGGTTGTAGAGTAGTTGGAGCAAAAGTACGGCCGTGCAAGTCGTAGAGCGTTACTCGCGAACCGAGTGCACCGGAGCAACGACGCCGGTAGTCTTCCTCTGGAATCTACTTCCTTCTGGCAATAGGACGATCTACCGATGCGGTACCTTATAGACGTTTGGATAATTTACGCGGTTCTCGATCCGCTCGATCCGTTACGAACCTAGACATTTGCGTCATAGATGGTTGGCGACGCGAGATCGACGACGAAAACATCGTGCCGGAAGATCTATCGTCTATCGCTGGCGTGAAACTACAGGTTGGGAATCCCGCGATCGCGCGGCAAGTCAACCCTCGAGAGTCGTCGTCGTGGTCGTCGTCGTGGTCGTCGAAAGAGCCGGCGAAGAAGAGACAGAATCGACCGGCGTCCTTGTTTGCAAGCGGCGCACGGTAACAAGGTTGCACAGAGAGAGCTTAATCGAGGGGNNNNAATCGAGGGGAGAGAGAGAGGGGGAAGGGGGAGAGGGGAGAGAGAGAGAGAGAGAGAGGACACCGACTCAGGAACCACGTGGCTCTCGTCACAGCGAGGCCAGTATGAATGAACGAACGAACGTACGTACTATACGATACGGAAAATGCCGGCGGTGGT